AACCCCAACTTTAAGCTTCTGTTTTCTGGTGAGAGTCTTAAAAGGTTAAGATCAAGAATTGCTCCCGCACACTTCCTTAACCCACATAAAACTAAAATTGTTCTTTTTGCAGTCACAAGTTCACATCCTAACCAGTGGCTCTGCGTTGCTCCCAGTCGGTTTCACCGCAGGAAGTCACAGTTGGATTCAATATAATCTAAAGTGAAAAATGGGGTTTGCGGCTGCATATTTGGCAAAAAGACATTCTCCAACGTATCAGCAATTGAAAGGACAGCAAAACTGCAGAAGTTAACAATGTGGCATCAGCATTTTGTAACAAATGAAACAGAAGCACAAAACCCTATCTTTCTACATTTACTAGATTCTCTCACTTACTAGGCTACACAGAGCATTCACACAATTAAAAATGCCAGTATTTTTTAACCTCAGTAGTACCAAAAGCTAGACATCTAACACCATACTTACATATCAAAGTAGCCTGACTTTCAAACGTGTGGAGCACACAAAAGATCTATGTGCCCATCCGGTGAAATGGTCAGGCCGCAGGATTAAAACAAACAAAAGGAAGGGGTTTTGTTTTGGGGTTTTTTTTTGGTTTTTTGTTGGGTTTTGAGGGGGGGGCGCGTTCTTGACACAAGCACTGGAACAGGCTACCTAGAAAAACTGCGGGATCTCCATCCTCAGAAACTTTCAAGCACAGATTGGACAGACACTTTGTCTAGTTAAGTCAGGGACGATCCTGCCTTAAGCAGGCACCTGAACTAGAGGATTCGTTAGGTCCCTTCCAGCCCTACTTTCCTATGATCCTATAAACTTCTGGAGCTCAATGCCATAGCGCATTATGAAGATCAACCCAATAATCAGGTTTACAAAGGGACCAGACAATTTTAAGGACAGGTCTATCCAATGCTATTAAACACAAGGGAAGGAACCTAAACCCTTCGACTCCTGGTAGTTTTGAAGGTTATCGCCCTACGCATATCCTGTTTCTTATGCTGTCTTGTGGAGCTACTTGCCACAGTTGCAGACAAGGTCCTGAGCAAGATGGCCCTTTGGACTGACCTTGTGCAGGAATTTGTATGTTCTTACATGTAGCTCCTCGTGAATTCCATAAGAGCTGGCATTCATAACCATGTTATAGATTATTAGACCCCAACTATTAAGACACCAGGCTTAAATTTTTTAATCTAAGGTTTAGAAAGCACTCTAGTTCTCCTTGTTTTCCACTGATGACATGCAAAACACAAGTAGTGCCCTGCATTATAACCATAAAATTCATCCTCTATCATAAGATTCTGCTACTACACAGTACTGGTTCACATATGGCTAGATTAAGTCTCATTTGTTGATTTGTTTAAAAGACTTGGCTTTGAGAAAAAAAATAAAAGATGCCATGCATTCCATGGAAAACGGGATGTACAAGAATCTTTATGGACTAACTCCATGGTACCGTGGGCTATTTCCAGAGCTGTGACCTTACAGAGAGGTATAACTAAATTGTTTTAATATTTTTACATTTTAATTTCCTAACTGAGTTTGATGGGCATACAAATAAATCAGTATCCAGGAAGCAACAGGTAGCTCATGGCCCACAGGCTACTATAAACTCGTGGGAACCTAAAAGATGTATGAAAAAGTGAGCTACCGTATTGACTCAAATTAAGATGAGGTGTTTCCCCCTCCCCTCATTTAACATGGGGGAGAACCCCTCATCTTGGAATTGAGGATGAGATGGCAGAAGGCAGGCATCTGCTGCCCCAACCCACAACCACAGCAGCTATCTTCCTTCCCCCCCTCTCCAGCCTCAGGCACATAAAACAAAAAAAGAAATGTTTGTTCACTTCTTGAGGCTGTGTAATACATTAAATCTATAGGAAGGGTTATGACCAATAGATAACAAATATGATTAGCATCAAGAGTGCCTAGTAGGATTTTTATTTTATTTTGTATGAGATCTAAAACTAGTAAAAAGGTGAGGGACTATAAAACCTAGAGACTGAAGTCATCCCTAATCACAGCACAAATATAACACCTCATGCTCCAAAGAAAGTAGCCCAAGAAGCAAAAGGGTACATCAGACCCATTTACATATGAACTAATATGAATTATGCTACCACCAGTCTTATTCTGAACCTATAACATGAGGCTTTCTTATTCAGAATTTATTAATTTATAATTGTTTTCACTGGCTGCAAACAGACGAATCTCTTCACATTGTCCAAATTGCCCCTTGCCCCAGTTACAAAACATTAATTGCCTTCCTTTACTGCAAGTAGGGATAAATATAAATATCAGACAGGAACTTGTGTGACATTAAAAGGTAATAGGGGAAGAGAAGGACTCCTCCTAATATAAAACCTCAAATATATGTCCCTTTTGAAGAACAGGAACATACAACAAAAAGTGACTAATTTAAAAATTTTGTTGTAACAAGGCTGTTACAGAATGTTGAATGTCAGAACTTTTTTATCATCATTTACAGAGATTTTTCTACTGCTACTCTTATTTTTTGATGATTAATTTGATCAGGCAGAAGATCAACACACCAGGTATAACAGGATAACTTGCTCCCTTTTTCCTCTGCACATACCTGCTTGCTAACACTCACTTCTGGCTTTGCTGAGGTTCTGCCATGACCAGAATACACACTCTGACAGAGCAAAGGGGACACTGTACAAAAAGGTTTCCCCAAGCCACATGCTGGAGAAGACAACATGTGAATATGAACTCCCCAGTGCATAAGGCCAGAAAAGTGAAAGAGGCCATCAAGAAAACAGTGTAACTTGCAATATGAATTGTGCTGTCATAGGATTAAAGCAAACAAACCGAAACACAGAAGGAAAAAAATCCTTCTGATCTCCCTTTGTTATAGGATATTTAAGGATTACCTGCAACAATAGTAGACACAACATTTTCCAATGGAAGAATGATTTTCAAGTTGAAAACATCCCTTTAATCACATTTTCTAAGTGCAAATGCACGAAAGGCACTATAAATTTTAAGTAGTTCCAATACATAATAAATAAAGCAGCTGATTCACTGAAATTTTAAAATCTTCTACTACACATGTGCAATCATATTTTAATAATAACATTAAATACTTAAAGGTAAGTATATTCATACTGGCAAATCTAACATTTTAATTGATATGACAGCCCACTTGTTTCAAGGGAGCCATTTTGGTTTATGGAAAGCATATTTAAAAACTGTCAAAACATATGTGCCTACAATTGTGTAACAGAAATTAGATGCATTAAAAACAATGTTAAGTTTGAGGTATGTTCTCTTTAAACAAGAAAAATCCTAGATAAGACCAAAAGGAACCATTTGTTTCACCCCCTGCATAATATAAGCCATGCAATTTTGTCCCGTAAATCCTGCATCAAGTTTGTATCAGGAGGTTGAGCTACACAGCTAAATAAATATTCAATTCAGAAAAATGCCCGCATAAAAATAATCTAATTCAGAGCTACGGCTCAAATTTACAAACGGATGCACCCTTAACTCAACAGTTGTGCACAAGAACAGTACACCACATCCAGAGTGGAGCAGGATGTTTTTACAGCACAACACTAAGAATTAAAGGGACATCATCAAGGGATTATATTCCTCCATCGCGGTTGCCACATAAGTAACTGCCAGCTATTATTTTGCTTAATAAACCATTGTACAGGTTTCAAATTAGTTTTACTCTGTGCTCTGCACATTTACGACCAAACCAAAAAAAATTAAGTAGGATTGTGTAAAAGTCTTTCGAACAACGCCAGCTTTTGCACTCATTTATATCAGAAAATCGGAATCCTGTGACGAGCACAGTAGAAGATATTTAATTAACAGAAATTAATTTGAAGTTGTACTAAATTTAGCCACGTTCATGTTTTAGTAATACTGACTTGAATTCTCTGTCCCACATTTTGACGGCACCAGGTCAAGAGCCTGAAACTATAGCAAGATGATGTGTCTAAGAACAGTTAGTTACTTGCTATATTTTGTTCTATCAGCACATTTTCAAACCAAAACTAGGAATAATAACTAGGAACAATAACTATTATTTTGTGTTTGCAACAAGGCAGGAAAGAATGTGAAGCATAATAAGCTTGTTTTTTCCAGCAATCAAAGGGATGCACACCCTGTTTCTAATGTGATCAATGAAAAATGCAATTTCTACCAAAGTTGTGCATAAACCCCCCTGGTCCTACACGGCTACATACACATATACACACACACAGACAAACACACACACAATTAATGGTGAAACCACTATGGCTTGATTCTGCTGTCAGCTTTTATAAAAGCTTTTTTTTTTTTTTTTTTTTCTTTTTTTAGATGAAACCTCAACTTAAATTAGACCTGCTCAATCTTGCCCTTGTGCCAAACTGGACGCATTCATTTGGAAGCCAGGGGTGCCAACTCTGACTGAAGCTATTCCAGGAGATTTCTTTTGTTCCTTTTTCTTACAATATCCTCTTAAAATCCTTTTTTTTTTTTTCTTTTGGTACCCTCTTATAATCTCCCTTTTTCTTAAAACATCCGATTAAAAATATCTTTTTGCACTTTTTCTTAAAATATCCTCATAAGATCTCCCATTTTTTCTTGAAACATCCTCTTACAATCTCCCTTGTTCTTCAAACATCCGATTAAAATCTTTTTCTCATTTTTCCTTAAAACATCCTCTCAAAATCTCCCTTTTTAAAAAACATCCTCGCTAAATCTTTTTCCCCCCTTTTCTTAAAACAACCTCTTAAAATCTCCCCTTTTCTTAAAACATCCACTTAACAACTTTTTTCTCTTTTTCTTAAAACATCCTATTACATTTTTTCCCCTTTTTCTTATAACAGCCTCTTTAAATCGCCTTTTCCTTAAAACATCCTCTCAGAATCCTTCCCCGCCTTTTTCTTGAAAGATGCTACTCAAACTGGTCCCCGTTGCCCGGGATGGGGGGAGGGCGGACACCGCCCCCCCGGCAGGTGCGCGCAGGCGGCAGGTGCCCCGGAGCCCACCTTTCCTCCGGACCGGCATGCTGGCTCCGCGCGGGAGGCAGGTGCTGCGCGCGGCCCGTGGAGCGCTTCGCCCGGCACCGTCCACACGTGAGCCCCCGGCACTAGTTGGACGCGCTCTCGGGCCGGGGCCGGGGCCGGGGCCGGGAACAGCCCCGCTCA